CTCCCCCACTCACCCCCCCCCCTCCTCCTCCCTCCTCGTCTCCATGTAGATCATCGAGGCTGCTGCGGCGTCGTTTGCCAAGGCTGGAGGCAACGAGCTGACCATTTTCAAGCTCATGACCGACCTCTCGCCTGAGACTTGCGCAGGCTTGTCGCAGAGGGCGTACGTGGCCATGTTGGCTCTCTCGGGCACATTCGTTCTCCGTGGCAAGTTTGTCTCGCTGGCGAGGTCGCCTGGCAAGGATGTTGTCGAGGGCAATCTCCTCGAGCTGCTGGGTGACAAGCTCAAGCGGCTGGGTGGCATCGCTCATGTGGGCTCGCTTGCCTCGTCGCTTGACGCTACTATGTCCGAGTACGTCGACAACGAGTACGGCTCAATGGACGCCTTTCTCTCCCGCCCAGCTGCCCGTCGCAAGTTCAAGCTCAAGGATGAGATGGTGACGTCAGCTGGTGACTCGGCAACTCGGACGACCATGGAGAAGCTGACCAAGCGCATCCGCACCATCCTCCTCGACTCGCCGCCCTCTGACGACGGCGACCGCCCTTGCCTCACCCTCGACGATGTGTGGGGCAAGCTCCCGCACCGCGACAAGGACTTTATCAAGCGCAAGTTCCGCTCGCTCAAGCGCTTTATCCTCCTTCCCTACGTCTCGCGCGTCATCGCCGTCGACGACTCTGAGTTTGTCTACGTCCGCGCCCAAGCCCCGCAGGAGGTCCTCGACATTATGGAGCGCCGCGACGACGTCTTTGCCGCCTCGCTAGTCCGTCCGGACCCTGCTGCCTCTGCCGCGCAACCAACGTCTGCTGCTCCGTCGGCCGCTGTCGCCGCTACCGTTGCCGACGCTGCCGACGCCGCGGCCGCTTCGGGCGAGCGGATCAACTTTGCCAAGGTTGTCGCCACACTGCTTGCGTCGGGCCGAACCTCACGCGCCGACCTGGTTGCTCACCACGGCTTTGGTGCGGGTGTCTGGGACTTTGTCTCCTCGCACCCCGAAGTCTTTTGCGTTTACGACGACGAGACCGTTCAGATGCGCGACCTGTTGCCCATCCTCATCCAGGAGCAGCGAACGGTCAACGAGCTCTTTACCGCCAATGTCCAGCTGCGGACGCAGATCCACACGCTCTCGCAGATGATGCAGCAATCGCAGGCCGGCGGTACCATGCTCGGCTCGCCGGTCCAACCGCGCCCACCGCCGGGCTTCATGTAGCTCTGCCACGGTCATCGTGGCGGCTAGTCGACGTCGGAAAAGTCCGATTCCTCACCGGGCGATGCGGTCCCACTTGTGAGCGAGCGGAAGAGCGAGCAGGCCTGCGCGGCTGCAGCGCGGTCGCGCGGCTCGTCAAGAAAGTCGAGGATGCGGTGCCAGACCGGAATCGGGAACATGTTCTGCGCGAGCACAGCGTTGCGCTCAAGCTCGCGGGTGGCCAGCTTCTCGGGCGTTGCCCGCCGTGCGTTGATCTCAGCCGCCAGCGTGGCGAGTGTTGTTGGTGAGATAAAGGTAGTAAGGACAAAGCCGTACTGCTGCGGCTCCCACTCGGCGAGCCACTCGGCGACAATCTGCACTTCCGGTGACAGCGCCGGCCGCGGCGGCTCTTCGTCGGCCGAGAACGACGACGACTGAAGCGCTGCAGCGGCCTTGGTCACGTCGAGCGAGACGTGGTCCGACGAGCTCTCATCGTCCGACCCATCACACGCCTTCTTGGTCCGCTGGAAAACCACCTTATCCACTGTCAGCACTGGTGACGACGCAGCTGCAAAGCTGTTGTCCCGAAGGTGCAGGTCCACGAACGCCTTGTTGCTCCGCTCAATCTCGTTGAGTTCGGACGGCCGCCGCATCCGGTGCGTCGCCGATCGACGCGACAAGCTGCTCTTGACCAGACCATTGCGTTTCCGCGACTCGCGCGCCTTACCCTTGCCCTTGGCCACGGCCTTGCCCTTGGCCTTGGGTGTCCGACCGCGTCGCTTGACCCTACTCTTGGCCTTGGCCTTACCCTTGGCCTTACCCTTGGCCTTGGCCTTGCCCTTGGCCTTGACCTTGCCCTTGGCCTTTCCCTTCGGCTGCGAGCTCCGAGTCGTTGACGTGTGGGGTAGGACCAGCTGCTCGTCCACATCGCTTGTCTGGGATCGCTTGTAGTCGTGGGTATCCCTTTTCCTCCGCCTGTCGCCACCCGAGGTGTCGCGCTGGCTCGCGTCAGGGCCGATGCTGGATCCACGGAGGCCAGGTCGCAGAACTACTGATACTGCAGACGTTGACGTGGCGGTCGCCATTACCTGCGTTTGGCTCGCCTGCGGGCTGCCTAGGCAGGAAAACTTGCGTCCGGCGGCGACGATGGCGGTTGAGCGTGAGCGGTTAAGCGTCTGCGTTTGGATAGAGAGCGATGATGAGGCCGAGCCGGGGGACGGCGATCTTGCGGGCACGAGGCTGTGGAGCCTGTGTCTCGGACTTGCAGACTGCTTACACGGCGAGCGGTCGCACTTGGCGTCGCGGTGGCGTACATCAGCCCTGGCCTTGGTCTTGGCCCTAGCCTTGTCCTTGCCCCGTGTGCGGCCACGGGCATAGTCGCGATCACGACCGCGATCACGATCGCGGTTCTTGTGGCCGTGGGCGTGCATTCTGCGGTCGCGGTCGCGGTCACGACCAGCGTGATGCTGGCCGCGGGTCTTGCTACGGATGCAATCGCGACTGTGGTCGCCGCGCATGCGCGAGTGGCGATTACGGTTCCGGTTTCGATCTCGGCCCCGGTCGCGGGCGTGGTCATGGTCCCGGTCACGGGTGTGGTTGCGGTTCCGGTCGCGGTCCCGGTCCCGGTTGCGACCGTGGCGGCCGCGGTGGCGACGGTTGTGGCCGCGGCGAGCGCGGCGGTCGCGCGGAGAGCCCCTGCGGTCCTTGCTGTATTGCCGCGACGTGGGGCGGCGCGCCACCTTGGATGTCGTGGCCGGTGTCTTTCGTGTGTGCTCAGCCTTGGGCGTCCGCGGTGACGGCGTGTGCTCCTCGTGAGCATGGCGAGACGGGCTTGACGAGCGGTGCCGTGAGCGCGAGCGTCGACGGTGCTTGCGGCGTCGATGGGCATGGTGACGGTTCTTGCGCTTGGACGTGCTCTTGGTGGTTGAAGACACAGCGTGCCTGGTACGCGGGCGGTCAGAGCGGTGGGGCGAGCGGTGCTTCCGCAGCGAGATGTCACCACCAGAGACGCCGGATACGAGGGCCAACTTTGCCACACGAGCATGTGGGCTGCAGCCGCGCGAGTTGGCTGTAGTGCCTGAGACGGCAAAGGAGGTGCGGCGGCCGGTACGGTCGCCACGGTGGCGGCGATCCGACGGCTCGGCCGAGCGACGGCCCGACGGCGAGGCCGACGAGGAGGTGGAAGACGACGACGAAGAAGACGACGACAGGGACGCAGGCGCGGCATGCAGAGCCGAGCGACGCAGAAGAGGTGAAGAAGAGTCCTCCGAGGAGGTGGATGTCGATGAGACCGTGCACAGGTTACACGACGACGAGTTTCCCAAGAGCAGAGTCCGGTGCGGCGACGAGCGGGTGACGGAGCGGCTCGGTGGCGAATGAAGCGGCGGAAGGTTGGCTGGTGGCATGGACGGGTGGCGCTCGACGTCATACGGCGCGTTCGACAGCGGCTTTGGGCTTGGGTCGATGCGGAGGTCGAGCGTTATGTCTGACGACGACGACGAAAGCACCGACTTTGGCCGCAGTGGCAGCGGCGAGATGTGTATCTCTGGCCGTTGTGAGTGGGCGAGCGAGGCCGCGCGGCGACGGCGGCCAGGCTCGAGCGAGGCCGCGCGGCCGTCGTTCACAGCGCTACCCGAGTAGAGTGCTGCTTTTGAGCGGTCATCAACGTCGGCGCCCGGCTCGCGCGGCGCGACGCTTTGGGAGCGGATACCGGTGGCATGTGGAAAGTTGGGCGAAGTCGGGGTGTTGTTGCTCGAGGTGGTCATCGTGCCAAGTGTAGTGCTCGACGAGTGGTGCTGAACGAAGGCCTGGGTTTGGGCCTCGACGGCAGCGGCGTGTGGCGTAAATGGCGAAAAAGGCGAGCACGGCGACTCGGGCTCGACAGCCGGCATCGGGGCGAGCGGCGGCGGAGCGAGGCCCGGGCGAGCCGAGTGCGGCTGGTTGTCGAGCGAGGGCCCCAAGAGGGGTTTGTCAACGGCCAGTGACGCAACCGACGACGAGGTGTGGAGGGGGACCTGCTCTTCCGAGGCCACCGACGAGCGAGCGGAGGCCGGTAGCGCAGTTTCCGACGACGAGCCGACGTCGATCGAGGCCAGGCTTGGATAGCGGAGTTGAGCAGAAGAGAGAGTGACCATGGAGGTAGACTGGCCAGACGGAGCGAGGCGGGCCGTGGCGAGAGGCGAAGAGCCTTGCGCGCGCGAGGTCTGCGGGAGAGCATCTGGGTTGGCCACAGGGGGCGAGGCGGCAGGCGGGGCGCGGAAGGCGAGCGGCGAGGCGGTGTGTAGGTGGCGCGGGGTAATGACAAGGTCGTCGGTGACAAGCGAGGACTGCGACTCGGACTCGAGAAGATCGCGGCGGGCAATAAAGCCTGTCCGGTGCGAGCTTGAGCGGTTCGAAGCCGACGAGCCAGTGGCACGGCGGACGCGTCGGTGAATCGGTTGGGAAATGGATGACAATGAAGAGGAGGAGGACGTCGCGCCGTCGCAGATAGGGGTGGAGGAAGAGGAAGAGAAAGAAGAAGAGGAAGAAGTAGATGCGGACGTCGACGAGTTGGACGACGACGAGCCTGAAGCCGAGCGGTTGGTGGTGGATGAGGTGGCCGAGCCGCCGGACGGAATGTCGTCCGAGTCGGACATGGACGACTGCGAGGAGAACTGGAACTCGGGCAGGTTGAGCTCGCGGAGCGGGCGGAGCTTGCGGCAAATGCGGTTGAACGAAGGCCGTTTTGCCGGATTCACCTCACAGCAAGCAGCAGCAAGGCGCTTGAGAATGCGCGGGGCCGAGAGGTTTTTGCGGTAGAGAAGCTCGATGAGCTTGCCGTACGAGTAGACGTCTGCCGGAAAGGAGTAGCCATCAGCCGAGGGCGAGTCGACCTCGGGCGCCATGTACCCGTCTGTTCCCGTGCCAAACGAGAGGTTGAGTACGTCGACGGGCGTTGATCCGTTGAGGAAGCGGGCGAGGCCAAAGTCTGTGATCCGTGGGTTGCCCTGGCGATCAAGAAGGATGTTGTCGGGCTTAAGATCGCGATGGAGAACGTTGTGCGAGTGGAGGTAGCGCATGCCACGCGCGATACCCTTGGCCACCTTGACCGGATCGACGTCACGAATGAGATCACCTAGCTGAAAAGCGAGATAGTCCATGACAACACCAATCTTTGGTTCACCATGCACCGTAGTGTTAGTCATGCCATGAATGGTGATGACATTCCGATGATTGATGTCCATCAGCAGCTGCAGTTCTCGAAACAGATCCTCTTGGTCTCTCCGTGACCGGGGAATCTTGATAGCCACATCATTACCATGCCACTCTGCACGGAACACCTTGCCAAACGAGCCCTGTCCCACAAGCTTGACATGCCGAATCTCGTTGAACGGGATCCAGTCGAGGAGGACCCGCGCCATAGTGGTGGTGGTGGTGGTGGTGGTGGTGGTGGTGGTGGTGGTGGTGGTGGGGG